TGTTGTTTTTTTGAATGTCCAGAGGACCAGATTGAACTTTTTTGGATTTTTCTACCTGGATTATTGAGCATGCATCAGGATACTAAAGTAGCCACTTTTCTTCTGCATCTGAGCAATAAAATCAAATAGAATTCTTGACATCTCTATTTTTCTTTCTAGTTCTTACTTTTTAAACACAGCTGGAGCCATGTTTTTCTCATCTCTAGTTTGTTGTGCACTAGGAAGAATATTTGCAGTCTAACAATATCATTTGAGGATAATCATGCAAATTGTGATTTTCTTTTCCCTTTGTGTGGATTTTGTTTGTATGCCCTGTGTGTATGTGTGTGTGTATTTGTGTGTGTGTTTGTATACTAGGTCCAGTGGGTGGAACAGCAAGTGATGAAAACAAGAAAGAAGAGGGACATCTTTGAAGGTCCCACAGACCCAGACTTTTCTAAGCAGTGGTACCTGGTGTGTGTTGGTGTCTTATTTTTATAATTTAGATGTAACCTGATGTGATCCCAAAGTATGTAATTTACAGTAGCATATTTAAAGTTGTGTGTGAAGGTAGCCTACTGTTATAGTCTCATCAGAAATGTTTACTACACAGTCAATAAGCTAAAATAAATATTCAAATGTGTTAATTTATTTATTATGTTGCTCATGCTTTTTAATTTCTAGATTAGCACTTCCTTGCGTTCAGTCTTACCATCTTGATACATTTTGGAAAAGATGTGTGATATAAAGACAAATATTAATGAATAGGTAGAAGGTGTTTTTACATAGGGTTTATACTCATCGACCTAGTCATTGTGATGGAAACTAAGGGTGCATTCACACCAGCCCTGTTTAGTCCGCTTTAATCAAACTTGAACTCGTTTTCCTTGAAAGTCCGGTTCGTTTAGGGAGGTGTGAACGCGCCATCGAACTCTGTCACGGAACAAAAAGGCAAACTCTGGCCCGGGCTAAAACCTAGGTCTCGGTCCGGTAGAATCGAACTCCAGCGCGGTTCGAGTACAGTGTGAATGCAAACAGACCGGACCCGCTCCGCAGGACAAACAAACACGCATTCCTCTGACCTTATATGGAGCCGTCAGCTGTCTTGTGTGAAAAACAATATTCTCCAGGGTCTTCTGTCTCATCTTCTGCTCATGCTAAGTCTGTTTTTGAAAAATGACAAAATATAACTCTTAAAACTGCTGGTTGGTTCAACAGGTTGACTCGACTGCACAGTGCAGTGTGAATGCAAATGCACCAGCTCAAATGTAAACAAAAGGTCATGAATATTGGTCCCGAACCGAACAGAGTCTACCGGACTATCTGGTGTGAAAACGACCTAAGCTTAAGTCGTTGAGGTCCATTGTTCAGCATGTTTTAGACTAGAGTTTACTCTGCTCCAACAAACCTGATTTGAAAGAATGGGTGATTAACAAGCTTCTGTAGAACTTGAAGAGTAATTCAATCACAAATAAGGTGTGCTGGAGCAGAGAGTCAAGTAAAATGTGCAGGTTAGCAGCCCTCGAGGACCAGGATTGGGCATCCCTATTTTATATAGATATATGACTTACCAAATTAAGATATCAAAATCAAACTTGTTTACCCAAGATATCCATACACTGATGTCTTGATAGTACAACCAAGTTTATAGCTGTTATTTATTTTATATTAATATATTTTATTACACAATGTCACTAGGTTTTTGGAGCAAATTTTTGTTCAAAACAAGATAAATTTACATGAAAACATAAAATAGCCCCACTGCTATTCCAACTGTTTGACTTGCCACCACTCAAACAGTTTTTGTTTCCATTAGCAAACAGTTAATAATGAGTCTCTTGACATGGATTGTTTTTGCTCCTGATAGAAAACTAATGTCTTATCTCACAAGCTGACTTGTCATGACTAGTCATTATACAAATACAGTATGTACATAAGCTTAAGGATTAGAACATGATTTAAATATAAAATAGGTTCTTAAAAAATGTCTTGTCTCTTGTCCTGGTCTATGTATGCCTGTCTTTAACCATCTTCTTTACCTATTGCTCATTTACCTTCTTACTTCTCATAGCACAACTTTTCTGGTGCCTTTTATGTGATTTTTTTTTTCTTCTCCTTCCTCTCAAACGCTCACAAACGGTTATTTACATTCCCAGACAAATGCTCTCACCTGCATTTCTGACCTGCAAATAGATTCTTTCATTTTTTGCCTGCAAAAAATAAATAAAACAAAAGCTTGCCTGTCCTGGGCAGCTCACCTTAAGGCAGCATAGATATATGAAGGTTATGGATAGAGTTATTGTTTTCGAACATAGGACAAATTAGGTACAACAGATGTAGTGTGGGATATCACATCTTTGTGTGCCCTGACTGAAGACCAAATCACACATTGGCTAGTGGTATGTAATAACACGCGTGAGGTCCCATTACACATGAACACATATATTTTTAGGGTCAGTTTTCAGTTTTATAGTCACTCCTCAAAGAGCCTGGGTTTGCAAAAGGATAGCAATGTACTGTAGCTTGTGCCTCTCCTTCAGAGAACAGTAGTTATGCACATACTATTACGTTTCCTTTGCAGTCAACCCATATTTTACAGGCAATGCATTACAAGCTCTACAGTAACCCTTGAACTATGGTCATTCTCACACATTATTGCAACAAAGTTCCAGCAGAAAGAACAAAATGAGCCACCAAAGGGGCTGTCACATCCAAACAATAGAACCAAAGAAATGTTTGTAGTTATCACCATCTGGTCACAGAGCAGAAACCACTCACAGGCCACCCCTCTCGACAGAGTCCACATCATTTCCACACCCTTGATTGAAAGAACCCTTGTGTCGTGAGGTTAAAAAGATCTAAGCTTCCCTGCTACTGTAAGCAAGAGAGAAAGAATCTTGAAAACCCTGTGAGATAGCTTCAACATGGGATTATACAGAGCTTCATCCTTGGTTGAATTGGCCAAACAAATAAACAGGTGATCACACAAGTATACACTGTGTGGCAGTGTACATTTGCAGTTCACAGAGGGAGCAATCTGTTAATCAGAAGCAAAAGGAATTAAGAAAAATGTGACACCTGAATCACTATCAAGCTGTATAGTCTGATAGGGGAAAACCTTGAGGAAAATGTCTCCATTTTTGCACAAAGGACCCTTAGAGAGCATTTAAATGTAAACTGGGTACAAGTTGAATGCAAGGATAGGGAATAAATGTCCACAACCTAATTTTTAGTGATCAAAAATATTAAAAAATAATAATAATCTAGAGATGCCTTTACCTAGAAGGTCTTAACCAAAAATCCACCATTGTCTAATTTCATGAAAATCTATCCACTCATTCCAGGACTTTTTTCCAGCTATTGACTGAGGATTTTCAAGAGTTCTAAGCTGGTGGCAGAGTGTGCAAACCTTAGAGTCCATCAATATTATTCTTGTGCAGGCAACTGCCAAACAGATAAAACATTTTTATGTTTTTATGATCCCCCATCATGCCACATCCTGTAGGACAGGAATGAACAGTAGAATTGGGCTTCACGTACTTTCTCTTAGTGATTACAGAGATACACAAAACTAATCACTAGAACCAGGACCCCAGCAATAAGTAGCAGAAGTGAGCTAGCCTCCCGTAATGAAAGTGTTTATAAAAAAAGTTAATAAAATGAGTGCAAGTAAGGTGTCAGCACTAGATATTTGCATACAGCTGAAAGTTAGCACACATGCTGTCAAGATGGATTTTACAGTATGTGTTGTACTGAATGTATCAACTTAAAAATGAACTAAATCTTAATTGATTATTTACCCTATAGATAAACAGTGATTTTATTTTAACAGCAAGTTAATGATGTGTTGTTGTTTTTTTAAACTGGCAGATACTTTTCTACCAGTTTGTTGGTGAAGTGTCAGTCAATTCAGACTGACAACTGAACAAAAGGCTTCTGTCTCTTGCAGTCCAATCCAACACATCAAGACCTGAATACAAAAGCAGCCTGGGCCCAAGGCTACTCTGGAAGAGGTGTAGTGGTGACCATCTTGGATGATGGCATAGAAAAAGACCATCCTGACCTCTTCAGCAATTATGTAAGTGTTGCATACAAAAGCTCAGATTCGGGTGCACCTTTGTACCAAACTATGCAATACAGTGTGTCCTGACAAAGAAACAAACATAATGATTAACCCTTTTTTTTCTCAATAGCATTAATAAAAAAAAGAGAGGTACTGTTAATTTATGTGGCATTAAAACTAAAAGATGTGCAGTTAGTTATAGATGTGTTTAAATAGTTACAACATACATTTAATTTGTTTTATATGTGATAATATACAACTATAAGTACTATTAATCAGTATAAACAGGTTAGCAGCATATTTTTTTGTTGTCATGACACCAGGTGTCTTAGCCTATTGTAGTTTCCTTCTGAACAGACTCGGGAGGAAGCTATGTTTTTACAGAGTAGTTGAAAATTTCATCCTTAGTATTAATTGATAATTTTACAATGTTTCTTTAACTACTGTGGATTTTTGCTTTCTGAATGTTACATGGAGTAAGCTGACAGACCTCTTGAGCTACAGTACATTTGTGTAATGCTGTAATATCAAGCTACACTGTTGACCAACTTACGGCAAAAAACACTTGTGCGTTGTTTGTTCATTTCTTTTTTTATTTACAAAAAATATATAAATGTGACATTTAAAATTGTATATGTAACTACAACTGGAATAAAAAGGGATTAAATGCAAAAACTATTATTTACAAGATTGTTTCTGTCAAATTTACTTGCATTACTATTACTGGTACATGCATTGCTTTTTGTTGTTTTTCTTATATAAATTTTATATAAATTCTTATTTCTAACAACCTGTTCTTTTTAAACGGAACCAATTGTTTAAACAGTGTTTTATCTGAAGATATTGTAAGGTAACACAAAAGAAGGCTAAAGATTTTTTTGAATAATTGTTAGTTTTGTAGTTAATTCAAAAACAAGAAGTACCTACTTTAATTAAGAACTTGGGTCCGTTCAATTATAGAGCAACTGTTTTATTGTTTGATGTTGTCCTGTTGATCAAATGTCAAAACTTCAATGTGTTATTTGAATTATAGAAAGTATCATATTGTAGCATCTTTAATATTCAAAATAACTGAAAATAAGTTATTTTACATAAATCTTTTGGTTTCTCTTATGTCAAACACTACAACTGCATAGTCCATAGTGAATGTACTGCAGCATATACACTAGTTTTAATTTATATATATAGTTGGGTTTTTTACAAGCAGTTTTCTGATAAACCAGAAAGGAGAAAAAAGGTTAATCAAACTATAAAATAAATTAAAAATTACTTAATTGTTATTGTTTTTCATGTATTCCTCAGGACCCTGAGGCAAGCTATGATGTTAATGATGGAGACGCTGATCCCCAACCGCGATACACGCAGCGAAATGAAAACAGGTAATTTGACAGCAGCTTTCATAAAACAAATGAGTAATTTCATTGTTATTCTGGGCAAGCATGCTTAAAATCTGAAAAATATTTTAATTTTTATGCAACTCTTGTTGTGTCCAGTTACAGCTTCCTATAAAACATTGACAGGCACTGGCTTGAAAGCAAGTCTTTTCAGCTTGTGACAGGGATTTACATTTAGAAACCGCTTAATGTACTAAAACCCTGATGCATTTGTTTTGCAGAGTCTTGAGAGATTGTTTCTTTTTTTGCATCAGTACAAAAACATAGCTTCTGCAGCAGCCCATTAAGGTCCATCATTTGCAGCCTCAAAGCCATATTTGTACTTATGTGTTGCCCCTACAGTATTTGTTTCTTGCCTTCTGTGATTTATGCCTTTTCTTTCTGGTCTTTGGTGATCACATTAAAACATGTTTGCCCCAATTAAATCAAGCAATACTAAAGCTTCACTAAGGATAAATTCTAAGCATCCAGTCCCCCATTTTAACCGTTACTACAAACGCTGTGGTCTTCTGCTTTAGACAATCCACCCCAGAGCAGATAAGAAGCTACTTTTTCCTTTAAAATGCACAGCAGGATTTGTTCCACTCTATCTGTTCTAGGACGCCTGCCACAAAGTCTTTTTTCCCTTCTCTTTTTTTAATCAAAGTGCTGCACTCACTTACTGTTGGTCAGATGGAAAAGCTAAATAATCTGAACAAGTTTTAAAGTGACACACGTGGGTGTTAGATGGAAATAGAATCATTCATGTTTGAACTTTTACAATATTAATCCATGCATTGATGTAAAATTTAAGCCTTTTTGTTGTTCAAGCTGTGTTAGTTTTTTTTCTGTCATGATTTAAAATGTGCTTTGTTCATCTTGAAAGAATTTAGCATCAGCAGGTTTTAAGCATAGGCCTTGTTTCTAGTCCTCGCCGACAGCTTGAGTAGCCATGCAGACTAACCTCAGCTCTTTCTGTCAGAGTGTAGTAGATACTACTCTGTCCTGCTGATGGAACAAAGTACTATCGAAAGGGATAACTCCCTGAATCTGGTATGCTTAAGCTTCCAAAGTGCACCATGTTATTACTGCAAGCCACACACATAATAAAAACACAGGTCTGTGCTCACACACTTTCTTCCACAATTTTCAGTGGAACTGCCAAAGCTATTATTTTAGACTTGATCCATTTATGGGCATGAAATGAAAACCAGGTATGTCTTTCTGTGTCTAAAGTGTGGAGGTTCAATGTCTGGAGTGACCAAACAAATAATATCTGGTAAGTTATGTAAATAGTCTGTGAGGAAAACCAGGTCATCAGTGAGTAATGCTCATAAATCCTCTACAATAAGGTTATATGAATTTAGGACAACAAAAAGTGAAGGGGATTCTGACGTGGACAGTTTCCACGGTACATCTGTATTACTGACACACAATGCTGATTTTTGAGTTTTCATCTCAGGCATTTTCTGGAGAGATGCATTGTCTTCAGTTGACAGTTATTGTTAAAGGACGGCTAGGCGTAGTGGAGGCAGGTTGAAGTATTATGAAGGAGGTAATCCATCTGTGCTTCATCATGAAAATGTTTGTTCTTTGTTTTTTTCATTGGTCTTTTTCTCTGCTCACATGTCAGCTTGATTCAGATGTATGGGGCCAGGCTAGGAAAAGTAGAAACCAGGATTGATTTTACCTCCTGCCCACAAGCTGCCAATAGAGCAAAGCTATTTTCAGAAGCCTACGCAGCATATAGTCTATCATTATTTCTGATCCTAGTTGTCTCTGATCTATCTCTATGCCTTTCTATTTGATTGAAATATTAAAATCCTGTTGACTTTAAATGTAAATATAAAACAGTTCTGGTATATGCGAAATGGCTCTTGAACATTTTAAGGAACTGTTAATTGAAAATAAAATAAGTATTCTTTTTTACACATTAAGTGATGAATACTCCTACTTTTCTAAACTGGGTGTGCCAAAGATGTCAAAACGGCTTGCACTGTATTTATTATTCCTATATGGAAAATAATGCCAATCTTAGCATGCAAAGATTTTCTTTATTAGGAAAAGCATTCATTTAGCATAGTACAGTAATCCATTTGTCTCCAACATGAGTTTGTGAAGTTTTTGACAACTCGCTGGTTCAAAATTCTTTGTAAATATTTGATAGTTTCCCTGCATGTGCCTTCCTCCCTACATACAAGCACAGTCACCCACATTTCAGAGGGGTTAAAATGCAGTTTTGACAGAATCATCAAAATGAAAGACACCTTCCATTTTCTTCCTTTTCACTTATGTGCAGAAGATATGTGTCCAGAAGGGATTTTCACTTTAGAGTTAAGCTTTAACTTTTTGTGCTGAGGTTCTCACATTATTTCCTTAACCCTTTTGAATATGACACTGAAGATAGAGTATAAATAATGACCCAACTCAAATATACAAGCAAATCCTACGAAACACGTCCTTCTGTGTCTGTAGGTTCCTCCTGTTGAGACATGTTGACAGTACATTTTAAGACCCAATTAAAAGACCCAATTAACCCCCAAAGTTGTTACCAAGTCGTTAACTCTGAGATTTAAATATTTTAAAAAAACACTTCTGAAGTCATTTTTAATGTGTCACTTGCCCTTAAAATACTCTTGGCTGTCAAATTTGAATTTCAAATGCAGGATTAGAAAAAAAATTGTGATATTTGACCCTTATTTAAATACTATCTTCAACCACTGTGTCCTTGGGCAAAGACAAGTAACCAAGGCCTGGAACCAGCTTTATTTGTGTAAATGTAAATGAAATTGCCTGTCCCCTGAAACGCTACATCTCTGCTGAACATAAGCTGCATACATATCTTAAGTCTGCACAGAGGCAATAAATCTGTCACCAAGGGGGTGATAAAGGACAAATCAGAGTGATGGGGTACACAAATCAAACAAGACGTGTTCCTCTGAGGTCTTCTGCTTTCACAGCTCTGTTACAGTGGTTTTGACGTTCAAGATTCCAGGTTGCACCTGCGCTGTGCTCTTGGCTTCGCTTCTGACGCACATCGTGCATTTTCTGAAATTGGAATTCCTCAAGCATTCACACCCATGCACTTACATTAAGAGTCTGTTTGGCTGTACATATCAGATCATTTTTCTTTAGTGTTTTGACAATATTTTTAAAGGGACAATTTTGGTTCAGTGCCAAGTTTTTTTTTTTTTTTGTTTGTTTTTTTACTAAGAACCAACAGGATACTTTTGTTTGCCATCTTATGAGACCTCATTTGTCACTTGCAGCCACTCCTGTCAGTTTGACAAACTACTGTTACTGTTCATCCCAATGAGATAAGGACACGACAATACGAAGAACGAGAAAAGAGAATGCAGTGTTCTCTTTATTTAACTTAACAATTGCATGTCAAGTTTAAATGCTCCTAATGTTTACACATAATTTATAAATGATTATTTATGAAGCTGCCAGCCACTGTCTAGCATGAACACTGTAATTCTGTTTGCCCTGATCTTATTTATTCTGGTTGGGACAGCTTGTTTGTTTTCTAGACTGCCAGGCAAAAGCAGGGGATGCTGGCAGGGACTTCATTCTCAAACCAAAATCCTCTGGCTTTCTGTCTGCTTCATTTTTTTGATTATTTTGTCAGAGAAAAGAACAGCATGATTTAAAGCAACTGTTTTCTGAACATTTTAACAATGAATGGTCCATAGTGATAGGAAGTGACAGCCGTGAGTCGAACCCCATTCTACAAAACATTACTGATCACCCAGAGTCAATCAATATAACTCTTGCCCAGTTGACTAGATACTGATGAATGGGATGTTAGACCACTTGTGTCTGCAGGGTGTAAAGATGGCCCTGTTTACTCATGATGCTGTGTTCAGTCATTTGTTTCTTTGCTGCTTTGACTGGTATGAGACCAACTGAAGTCATTTAAGCATGGTTTGCTGCTTAAATAGCATTTTCCCAATATTTACATGCATGCACATTAACTCTGAGTTTATTTCCGCCTATATGACAGTGTTTCATACAGCATTTTCTAAATATTTTATTTAGTAGTGCAACTGCTATTGAGAAAAATCCAATTTATATGGTAAAAAATATTCTAACAGATCCACATAAGTTTCTTCTCTTGGAAAACATGCAAATCAGATGGACTGTAGAGCCTGAATTGCCTCTAGGTATGAATTTCATGACTACTTACTGACACTGAGTATCTATACTTGCCTGATGGTAGACTAGCAACAGCTCTGAAATGCTGTTTTCACCTCTGTCATTAGACCATCATTGGCCAACAGGACAAGGATTTAGCCCCTTTATCCAAACTACAATCAATAATCTGGTATTTTAGTTTAACTTAACAATCGTATCTGATCATTTTTGTCATGGTATTTCTGTGTTTGTCCATGCAATAAAGAGATCTTCACATGACACTTCAGTGTAACCATTTAAACAGACCTGCCTAAGGACACAGCTGAGCTGAGCAGAGCAGAAAATAGCCTAATCCTTTTGGCAGCTTCAATGAACGGACCCTATTCAGTCCCTTTAAAACAGATAAAACCAACAGAGCAACGCCAGGAGACAGATTCTACAGTTTAGCCAAGCATTGGTTAGACATTAGTCACACTTGGTGAGGCATATTTTAACACGCTACTTGCAGCACAACCCAAACACTACATTAATGGCTATGTGAAGTTTCACTGGTTTATTATTTACAATATGGACGTAAAGTCTCTGTTCTCAAATAGACACGTTTTTGTTCCAAGGACTATATGAGAGTGTATGACATAGCAGCATGGGGAGCTGATGTGTCATTCTGAATTACTTGCCCAAGGTAAAATCAGCTGAACTTTAGAAACGCTAGTGAGTCATTTGGGTCCATTGGTTTATTTTTTCCACAGATTCAAACTTGATATTTCGTTTACTTGTCCAACAGTACAGCTGAGATGGTTTCACTGGCAGTTCAGTCTTGTGTTTTTGGTGAATTTTTATTTTTAAAGCTTAAAATCTGAAATGTCCAG